CCCAGAGAGTGGGCAGACTCTTTTCATGCCAGCTGTGGAGTACCTTCAGAGTATTGCAAATACTTCCAAACTTGTGATGAAGAAATTTGGAGACGGCTTTACCGGCCTGGTATCCAAGGGGCACGAACACCTTGAATTTAAAATGTTAGGTTGGGAACCACTGTTAGTAGAAAGGTTATATCGCTGACGAACTATCTCCGCTCCAGTAGCGTACACACAGTCGGGGTGGTGTTCACCTCCTCCTCCTTCCCTTGGTATTTGTTTTACCATATTTTTAGATTTATAGTTAATACAATTTAAAAAATCTCATTTTGAGATTACACAATCTTTGAGGGATTGTGGGAGTAGGAAATTATATAAAATTATATATTTTTCAGCCTACAGAAGTATGGGATGTTGGCTCCTTCAAGGGGGCTGACATATGGTTTTGGCTACAATGTTAAAAAAGTAGAGGACTAAGAGTCTTAGACTCGTTAGACTACCTTGAGGTAAACCTGTGTGAGTGAATTTTGAGCATTTTCAAATATTAATGCTTAACATAATACTTACTCATAACTCACTTTTCAATAAAAATATGGTAAAAAACCAAAGAGGGAACCCAGATTATGTTCTTACATTTAAGTTTGATGGTCAATTAACTCTAATACATAAACTTTTCAAGTTAAATGACTACAAAATAACTAAAATCGTTATTTTTGTTTTCGCTGTGTTTGAAATATTTGACTTTTATAATACTCGTATTTTAAATTTAAATTTTAACTACCTAGTATCTACATAATCATAATGCTAATGATACAGCTGCTATATTAAATTATTGTTATTTTCATTCAAACATAATTATCGTTCGACAGCACCTATAAATTATAATAGGTACCTAATTAATAGCCAGTATAATATAGGTAATACCTAACCATGCCTATTACCTATATAGGTACGTCCTTTTATAAACAAATTAAATTTTAATTACACCTTCTAGTATACTCTACGCCAGGAGAGAACATTACCTGAAAACCTAACCCACTGCAGATGAAAAGTACAGGACTAACCAATTCCATCACTTTTAAAGGAAATATCATAATTTATTATATGTTTATTATAGGGAAACAGGGAAAGGTCTGAGCACACACACTACACACTACAAACATGTATCCGACAAAATTCTGCAAACACTGCTGATTTCGCTTTTTCCACTTATTTCAAATTGTTTTAGCTTTTACTACTTCTATTTAAATTGTATTACAACAGAGATATTTCCACAACTATACTAAGTTTTTTTTATTAAATAATAATAATATGACCACCAGTCAACAGCCACCAAACAAAATGTTTTGTTTACAAAATCAATCAATTATATGATAAATTAAATTCTATATTTTATGAATTTAAGCTCGAAAAATCAAGTAGATCTATAGAAAATGTACTATGTACAAATAATTTAATTTCGTTTTGCTATAAGTTTTCTGAAATTGGACTTAGCCCTTTTTCATAGAATACCTATCTATAATACTTACCTATCCGGCCATCCATAAAGTAGATGTCCTTTCATCCTTTGTAAAAGTTTTAACAAAAACAAAATTCATAATAATATACAACAAAATACAAATCCTGTCATGAGCTCTCTTTTTAAAAGAAAAAAACATTTTTAAGAGGACGCTACACCGGCATTTGTTGTCTCCGTCTTACAAACGCACATGGCAAATTTTACGTTACCAATAATACATTTTACTATGTGTATAATTTATAATGTGAGTGAATTTACCTCACATACAATTTAAAGGCAAAAATATTATCTATGGCATCACGGGGAATTTTATTAAAATTATTATTTTTAAGTAAGTTATGATTATTTTAAAATTCACAAGACATCATGTACGTTCAAAAATGGCAATAACTTACTTAAAATTAATAATATCAATAAAATCCTACGAGATACCCTTGACTTTCAATTTTATAAAAGGTAAATTTATTCTAATTTTAGAAATTATAGAGTAAAATGTATTGTGAGTGTAAAATTTGCCGCATTCTACGTTTGTAAGATGGAGACTACAAATTACAAAATGGCGTTCTCGTGAATGCACAAGATATATCAAATTTTGATTTAGCTGTACAGTAAAAAACAATTTGTCATTTTGATTACCTACTTACATGATATTGATAGCAACCAGTAACCAATATTCTGCATCGGTTCATACAATTCAGCTGAATTAAAAATGTACACATTTAAATAGGTACCTACTTCAGTCTTAAATCGTATGCCTACGCGTTGTGTCGGACTGGCTCGAAAAGGTCCAGTCCGCGATTTGAAAAAAGGCCCCAACAGGCGAATGGCAAATGTTTTTACTTGTTTAATATTCTTACCTTTCACACTTGTAGAAGAACTAAATTTTTTGACTTATGTCACGGGCACATTCAAACAATTTCTGATTTTCTTTCTCCTTTCTTTTTTTCGAACCTGCTTTGTATTTTCTTCTATCCATCACGAATCACGATTAAAATAATAACGGTCAACAGTTACAACCTACAAGACGTCAAGAAGAAGTAAGAACAATTCAACAATATTATTTAACAACTTTTAATTTAGTTTTAATGCCATGAAAACAAATCATCATATTTTAAACAAAATAAATGAACAATGAACGTCCGTAGGACTATAAATTATTCTTGCAATTCGTATCATTTGATTATAATATTAAAAATTATTTATCATAGATTAGAATTCTGAATTTAGAACGGCTTATTTAAAAGAACATATACTTTAAAGCTATTTATAACCCTGTGGCCTTCATGTGCAGGAGTACAAAACTTATCCAAAATATAATAATTCAGTTACAATCAGTGATGATGAGAATACCAAGTCATACGCATTCGCCCGTATGAATATAATATTATTTAATAGTCACAACAATTTTACACTATGTATGTATAATCAATGATACAATATGTCACATTTGTACCTACATAGGCAGCTATTAAATTCGTAGAATGAAAATGTCATAATTTTAATAATTATTGAGAACTTCTCAAGATTGTAAACAAAAATATCTTTATCCTTACCAAATCCTTATTTGAAAAAAAAATGTTTATTTCGGATTTCTATTTTCTCTAAACTAATAATAATAATATTAATAGGTACAAAATCAGGAGCCCCCAATTACCATAATTAAGCCGGGACCCCATCCGCAATTGCGGACTTGCCTTCCGAGCCATTCCGACTCAGACACTACACATACCAACAGATAAATAAAAATATTAACATTTCTTAAGAGAACGCTACACCCACATGCGCTGTCCCCAGGTCTCCTTCTTATCAATGAGTAACATAGCAAATTTTATGCACAACAGATCATGTGTAACTCCTGTCTCCTTTAGTTTAAAAATTAGAGTGAATTGATCTCTCATAAAATTTAAAGGCAAGAATATTATCTAATGAACCTTGTAGGTTTTTTTTTTAGATTTTGATTTTAAAGCAAGTTTTACATTTTCTAAGAGGTCAATTCACTCTAATTTTTAAACCAAAAGAGCAACACATGATCTATTCTGTTGAGCATACAATTTGCTATGTTACTCATTTGTTAGAAGAAGAGAGCGTATGCGGGTATAGCAAATATTGATTATTTTACGATCATTAAAATTTACTTGGTATTTCTGTTAGGTATATATTGTTAGTTTCTGTAACTGATCATCACCCTATATGAAGATTATAACTTGTACACAAATATACATTTTTTTATTTGAATTAAGGCTTCAATTACTAAGGTAATACTTTCTTACTCATCAGCCTGGTATTGTGTGGTGGTTTAAGCACGTGTTGTAAATGTGTGGCAAGGATTTGTTACTAAAAATCTCGGATGGTCACCTATCCGGGAACTATATCACCAAGTCACAAATAAATATAAAATTGTTTTTTCAAATAACAATGTTTTTATTTACTCTGCAACTTATACTAGTTGCAAAATACAGCTATATCACCATTCATCTTTACATATATTATAAAATCAATGGTATTTAATAATGTACAATTAATAAGTAATATTATGAGAAATAGTGTTTAATTTCATACAAATTACATTTGAAGAAGGTACATGAAATATATTATAAGGCCACAAAAACATTGAAAGTATTAATGTTTTTTTTTTTTTTATCAATATTATAATAAATGTTTATAATATATACCATGTTTGAATTCAAAAAATATCATACAAAACAATGTGCGTGTAAAAAATATTTGTTTTGTTCAACTTAATATATAATTAAAATTACAATAATAATTTTTTTTTTTTAAACACTTGATATAATGATATACATTTTAAATATTATACTCAAGTCATGTAAAGTGTTTTAACTAGTACAAAACCATTATTAAAACAGTAGTACAGTACTAGTAAACAATAAATAAACTCAACAGTAGAGCACCAATTTTTGGCTAAACTTGGATTGGTTGTTAATCCAATAACTTAGTATTTTTATATGAAAAATGTGTTTTTCAAATTTTTCAGGAAAAGGATTAAAATTCACATTTCACACAAAGTTAAGAATTATTAATTCGGTTAATAGGTACTCTACTGTATTAAAATAATAATAATAATGATAATATAAATACATATCATAGGTATAAACGATAAATCTAGAATATAATATATAAACCTAATCAAATATAACCTATAATAAATAATAATAATAAACATACAATAATTTAATAATTTGATAAAAAAACACTGATACATTATTTTAGTTATTATAATACACAAGTCATAATATTAAATATGTTGTTTAAACTTCAAAATACTTGTTTAGGAATAGTGTTATATAGTCATGACTTAATAATAACGATTAAGCGAATGATTAACAAAAAAAAATATTGTACATGAATTGTAATGGATGATAAAATAGTATGAACGATTAATATTTAGTATGATAAATATTATACAAATTATACACTAATATGTAGTATTAGATATAATAATAAAAAATTACCAAAGTAATTTCTCAGTCGCTGAGCCATTAGTTACCATATTGGGCGATTGTCCATTCGATGTATCTGCATCTTTTTTTTCAATTAAATGTCAGTTGAGCAGTTCAGTAGTAACAAATTGTTTAAGTCTTTCCAAATAAACATTATGCAATTCTACATCATTGTGGCCGGCACCCTGAAATACAATAAATTGAATGTAGTTTAGACAATTATTTAGTTGCAAAATTTTACACATAGAAAATAGTAATATTTTAATTTTATCTTAATACTAAATATACAAAAAATGTATTCACCTCAACCCATAATGGTGGAACTGCTTTAGGACATTTTTCATAAATAGCGACACCGTGTGAAAAATCAATTACTTCATCATGTGTTCCGTGTATGACAAGCACTGGAGAGTTAACTTCTGATACCTTATCGATACTAAAAAATGACACAAATTAATTGATAATAACATAAATAATTAAATGTACTTAATTTAGTCAGAATAGGACACCATAACATATTTATTTATTATATAACCAAAATTGTATCCTCTAATAAAATATTATAAAGAGTTAATTTATCTATTTTCTATTTCTTTTGATTAAGTCATATTTTTAGACTTTAATTTTAGAAAAAAGGTATAAATGTTTTAAATGTTGAAAAAATACTAGGTATTTTATAAGATATGCATAATGAAATATCACATGATTTATTTCCTCATCTAAATTTGTTCATAGCTCATAGGTCAATTAACTTAAATATTAACCTATAATATATTTATTATTCATCCATTGTTTTTCACTAGACAAACAGATATAATAAATCAATATTGTATTTTACGGCATCTTCTTGAGAACAAAATACTAACATAAGTATCAAAAATTTGTATTTATTATTTTAGTTACTAAAAAACTTAAAATATTATATTCATAATACTATGTACTAGGAATCTACATAATCTAGTAAATGCAATAAATTATAAACTACAGTCAACATATTTTAGAGAACTGTAATAGACTAAGTATAAATCATTAGATCGGATGAAGTATATTGTTATATAATAATTTAGTCATTTAATAGTAGGACAGTAGGTACAATATTATGTTTAATACAACTTTATAAAATATTCCTCAGGAAGGTATCTAAAAATTATTAATGCGATTGACTCGGTAAAAATATGCTTCTTTAGCATTTGTGTTAAAATGAAAGAATTTTTTTAATTATATCTAAAGACTATAAAATTGTATGATTAAAAAGAAAACCTTAATAAATATGAGGCATTTCCTAATGGCTAATAGTACTTAAATAATATTAACAGTTTTTTAATTTTTTATATCGATATAGGTATATTAAAGGCCAAGAAGTAATAATAAAAAGGTTAACTGATGATTGCTGGGCAGTTGAAGTTTGTAATTCATAAATTGATCTCTAAAATAGGCGATTATGAAGTGAGTATTATATGATCTAATGTAATATTTATAAGAAAACATTTACCATAAATACCATATTAATATCTTAATATCCACCTATTTTTATTTTTATTTTTTAAAGATTAAATAACCATTGGCTAACTTAATTTAGGTATTTAGATTTAAATGAATGAAATTGTCATTATTATATTTATACACACCTATTATATAAGTATAATTTACAAAATAGTTGGATAAATGATATGTCTAGGTAGTTAATAAAAGGTATTAAAAATAAATATTTTACAATTTATATTTTCAACACGAAGAATTTATTACAAAAATTCAAACTAATATCATAACTTCACTACTCTACTAGGTTGTTTATACAAGCAAACCAATTGTTGTCTACATAATCCCACTTGTTCACACAATTTTGTTTTATATAAATTATAACCCTTCATTATACAACCAGAGAATAAAATACAGATAGGCACACACCGGTTACACATATTATAAAATAGGGTGTGGCTAATATAAAATTACACATTTATTTATTTTTTATTTATCAACTGTTTGTATTAACAAAGGGTGAGTTTATAGATTTATACTTAATATTATGTAACAAGTCATACCTTAGAAATCCTTCATACCTACACTAAATAGGATTATGCATTGAAGCATAATTATACTGTACGCCTCAATTGACTGTACAAGTTTAAATAATACCAAGTCTTTAAGCTAAATTTAAATGTGGCAGACACAGAGACAATAGAAAATTAAACAAATTAATGGTGTAAAATGTACATATGTAATAAGGTGAAGTTCTACGAGATAAATACTTAAGTACCTGGTAAACACGTCGAAGAACCATTTCCTTTTGGACCTAGGAAAAGCTACTTTTATGCCAGATGTCAAAGGCGAATGAAGGACCACAGCCCCCACTTCATATCTAGACGCCAAGTCGACAGTGGGCACGGTACCGATGCTTTGGCCGTACAGTATAATGTTTTCGGGGCTGATGCCGTACGTGGTCCTTAATGTTTGCCAAGCGGCGTCAATGTCCGCATACAGGTCCCTTTCGGTCGGCTTACCCTTGCTGATGCCGTAGCCTGAATAGTCGTAGCTGAATATATTGCAATTGATTCTCATACCTAGTCCTAGGTAGAAGCTGCTCATCTGGCCCAGGTCGACGGCGTTTCCGTGCGAGAACAGTATGGTGTAACGGGCGTTGGGACAGCATCGCACAAATATGCAAGCTATGCGATTTCCACGGGACGTGCGAGCATAGAATCCCTCGATGTTCTGCACGTCGCTGTCCGTGTACTGCCACTCGGCCTTGTCGTTGAACTTGATATGGTATTTAGTCTCGCCACTGTCGACCGGCGTGAAGTCGTACGTAATTGGCGGCGGAAGGAACGCCAGCTTGGCGGCGATACGGGACGGCAGGGGTGGGCAGCAGAACAGGTACATCAACTCGCTGAACGTCATCCCGTTCATTGCAAGCACATCAGGTGGGACGAGAACGGAAACGCGACAGAGGTGCGACGGCGATAGAAGACAAACGTAACGAAAACCCGTTGGAGAAGAGTCGGCGGCGGCGGTCAGTCACGGACAAAATAATAATATGTATTTTCACACCGCGAACTGGAGAGACGAAAACTACTTGCGCACCTACCTGGCTACTACTACGACAACACTACATCAACAGTAACAACAACAACTTTACACCGCACTAGGACGACGCTCTCGGAGAAAACATATCAAAATAATAATAATATCAAACAAAAATCGTGAAGTGTGACATCAGTACATCACCGCCGTCATCATGCCGTGTTGCGACTAGGAATTTCGTTGATACGCATAGTGGACTAGCGGAGTGTCGTCGAGCCTGCGATTACGTCACGGAGTCCCTTATCACTCGCTGTCCCGAACACAATGCCGTAAAAGCGCAAGTGAACAACTTACTATATGGAATTAACAACAAAACTACCTATATAATGCGTAATAGTGTTGGTGGGTGTTGTCGTCGTCGGCGCGCCACCCGTAGAAGAGTCAGCCAGTCGCCGTTTCTTCCATGACATTTGTAGTAATAGTAGTCATTGTACCCAGTGCCCTCGTTACCGTGGAAGAGCGGCCGGGCAAGCCTGTAGTTGTGGTTGTCGTCTTGCGGTTCGTCCGCCGATAGGTATGTTTGTAACAGCGCTACAGCCTGCAACAATAATTAATAATAAACCTGCTGCCGATGCTCAGTAAAAACATGGGTATAAAATAGCAGGTCCACAAGCATATTATTGTATTCGTTTGGTGATAATTAATGATACAACTTTCATATTATCAGAGAACAAAAGATCGACGGTCGTATTATCAGCCGTTATCACGAGACATACGCGGTCAGTGTCTGCCAAAACTGCTCTGTTTTCGATATTCGTTAACGACCGACAACTACGGTTAACAATTCGCGACGTATTTCCAAATTACTTAGAGCCGGGGTCGCGCGGGGCCAATATTTCCACAATTATTTCGCAACATGCTTGGTCGAAATGTTGAAATGTCGAATGCAATAATTAATGTTCATGCTCCACTCGTAAGTCACGATCCGTGAACATTTTAGAGAATGTTCATCGTCACGATAACCGCAAACTCATCCGCCTCTCCTGTTATCATCTTGTTCCTTATCACGGTGAGTTGAGAATAACTGTAGGTTATTATTATTATGTCGGTGGTCTTCTGTTTGATGTCGAAAACGCTGCCCATTTTTATTATTACAATTTTATATATAACGTCACTCGTAATTGCAACTGTATGTTTTCTAAACTCCATTTGAACAGCATTGCCCAATACCATATATTTGTCACAATTTCCTCTGCAGAACGCGAACAGGTAACATTTACTCATTTACGACTTACCAATTTTGTTGATGTATATAATATTAATACTATCTTAGGTATATCTAAACGCCAAACTAACATTAATAATTGTGAATACCTATACAACAAACTCTTGATCCAAATTCAAATAGGTAAATACGACTCCTTGTGTAAGTAGGCACTGTTAGCTTTTATGCCAAATTTGATATACTTATTATACAAATCATAATATAATCCCTAAATTGTTACCTAACTTATATATTGATCGATTCGATTATCATTCATTATGAACATTTTTAATCTCGGTGGAGTAGCTCTAATTGAGAAACTAAATGGTAAACCTAATATATTAGATATAACTACACGTAGGTAATTACTAATTAGGTAGTTACTAAGCAATATAATATTGGCAGGCAGGTTCAAGACTTATTAATTATTATTATTTGCCTATCGAAAACACCACATTAATAGCCTGTAATTAATAGGTATATGATTTACTTACTCTCGAGATAAATGTTTTAAAATTTTAATCAATAAAAAACAATTAATTATCGAATAATTACTTGTGTAGAACTAGAACAAACACTTTACAGACCATCTACAGAGGTATATTATTTTAAAACTAAACGATATTGTTCTTAATACAGTATTCTTCAAGGGTAAACAAAATTATGTAAGATGAAAATATCTTCATTAAAAATACATGTATAGATAATAATAGCAAAGAAAAGTAATTGTGCCAAGACATCGAAAAATTGTATTGAACCACAGCTATACCTAATTATTTGTCCTTCCAATATTCTAATAAATACGAATTATTAATAAAAATTCATATTTACAAACAAACTGTTTTATGATTCCAATAAATTAAACCAGTTTTCGTTATATATTAAAATATAACTTTGTTATTTATATATAGGTTTAAGAGGTACATCATTACTTAGGTAGGTATGTAATTCCTACAACGAATGAACGAAAACCAAATTTTCTCGTACCATACTACAATAGCAATAAAAAACTACAAAAAAACATAATAATTATCACAATATTACACAGTATTTGCTGTTTACGGTCTACGCCGATAATTCCACTTTAGTTTGAGTCATAATTATTACACAAAACAATACTTTTGAACAAATTGTGATTAGTTAAATACGACAGTCGCGACACATTTAAAAATGATAAGCTACATTTTAACACAGAACTAATTGTAATTTGATTTTAAAATAAGTACCTATTATATGGCTACATATGATGAAATATTATTAAACGCAAACATGATATAGAAAAAATTGCCTATGCAAAGTCCCTTAAAATTAATATGTAGAATGTAATAGTGTTATAAATATTAAATAGTCTACCTGGCGTACTCTATTCTGCTGAAAAAATGTGCCACTGGTGTGAAAAAAAATGTGAACTATTATTGATTGAGTTAATGTGATAAGTATTAATTACAGCAGTTTTATACATTTTGTATAAGTAAAAACGCCTTAAAATACACGAAGTAGGCAAGAAACATAAGGAATTTTATCTTGTAACGCCAGTAAACCTATTTATTCCAACAAAACGTTCAATACATCTAAATATTTTATTTTAAAAAATATTTATAAGATTATACAAATAACACTATAGGTACCCAGGTGTTATTTCTTAGTTATATTTTTTTCATTCAAAATTCAAATACTGTTTTTATAATGATCACTCAATTTTTACGATAACCTTCCATCTAACCTTCCATCACACTTTAACTCCGATGCCCTTAGGTTTGGGATTCTTCAACTGAAGAGTGTAGATTAATAAACTATATTATGATATACCATGTATATAGGTATACCATATCAACTCTATTTTATTCATCTTGAACATAATTTCGTAATGGTTAAACTATAAAGGTACCGATACAAAAGCCAAAATAGATTGAACAATTCATAAAAAGTAAATTTTATTTGTATACTTGAATTAAACATAAATTATATTAAAATTCTGAGCGGAGATATTGTAATGTAATGGATTCACAACGAAGTGTGCTTATGTTTTGTAAATTTGCTATCATCATAGGTTAGTTAAATTTTTAGGATAGTTTCTGGTAGATAATTAATTGATCTAGTTTTACTTTGAAGGTCAAAATTATAAAATACCCAATTTAATAATAGCTTATACTCATTGCGAAAAATTAAGAAAAAGCTGCGGGAAAACAGGAATAATTACGCAATACTAGTTATTGACAACTGACAAGAACGATTTTCTGTTTTTTTTTTGTAGACAGGTCAACATTTTTTCACCAAATATCACACTTTTTCTATACATGGTCAAATGTTATAAATATTTTGACTTATGAGTTGCTTAAATTTTTTTATTTTTTTCTAAGTAACTTTCTATTTTTGTTGCTAATATGTTTTTTAAGGTCAAAAAGTTTGAAAATGTAATACAACAACTATCATAAAAGTTGCTCTTATAGCAATTAGTACAAGTACAACCATCGAAAATAGTTAGGTACATATTTTTTTTACATTATTTATGTTTGAAACACAAATAGTAAGACTATACCATTGTTCTGTACTACGTTTGGACTCGCCCTCTATAAATAAATAAATCATTATATATACGATGTAAAACTATTTTGAGCGAAAACAGTGTAACTTTTGTCTAACCTTGGAAACCAATCAGTTATTTTGATAATAATATTAAAATGTTGACAAATTATCATACTTTTTTTGTCCCAATAGTTTCACAAAGAACTGAAAATATTAAGTTTTGACCTACCAAAGGTACTACCAATATCCAATTTATACTACTAGAAACCACCCAAGTTGATGATTCGAAGAGCCTTAATTTCTCTATTAGAAAAAAGGTCTTCGAACGCGAAAATAAAAAACACACATCGTTGTAAAATCAATACATTCTCTGCTCCGCTCAGAATCTAAAAGTAATTCAGTTTATTTAAACATAGTGATCTTTATAGTTGGATACACCAAAATGCTTATAAATCCCATCGGATTCATGCAGGTTTTATCAGTTCATCACTAATATAATTCTATAGCTAATACACTTACCGAAAAAGCGAAAAATAACACTAGTTGAATTCTGGAATTGCAATAAATTGAAAGGACATTTTTCGTACGTCTACAGAAGTAACACAATAGACATGTGCACCTTACCTAACTTAACCGTACGATAAAAGTATTACGTTGATAAGCATAAATTATAACTAATATTAAACTAATTAAAGTTAAATAATTATTTTAAATCCAATGTTTCTCATTTTAATGAAAAATGAAATGTTCTTGTTCTACATACTAAAATATCAGATGATACTTTATCTGTAATATTAATTACATTTTTAATAAACTGTTTAACATAATAATATGTAATATAATATAATATATTGATAGTGGGTATTCATAGTAGATTATTTTTATCTTAAATAATACTGCGGTAGGTATATAGATGGAATTTTTCTTACGTTTAAAATAATTCATTAAAATAAAATCACTCTTTAGATTGTAAGCCGAACACGTTAAGTACTTTGGACAACTATTTTTTCAAATTCCGAGTTGTTTCCATCACGGACTTAATAATTGTCCCCACTTTTGGTTAATCAAACTTTGCAGAAAATCATTTAATAATAAATTGTCCCATTAAAATTAAAAATAAAAACAAATGTACTAGGTACTATTATTTGTATAGGTATCTAAAAATATTACTACTTATATTAATAGAACTGTGTGGATTTAATAATTTATCAAAATAAGAAAATTCATTAAACCAATAATTAAGTACCTACTTATAATTTAAAATATGATATTACGTATATTGTGATTCATCGTTTAATCGGTCTTAGTAAAGTTAAGTACCTACCTGCGGATAAAAAGCAATAAGGTGCCGATCGAATGTGTATTTAATATTTATGTTTATTAAATATAATCTGCAATTTTTACAATTATACTGTGTTATAATATGTCTTTCTTTCTTTGAGATTTAAACTTTTTGTATCGATTGAACTGCAAAACATTTTCTGGTAACAGTTTTAGTAAATCCGTTATTCGATCATAGTATAATATATTATCATCTTACTACTTATTATTTACAAATTTTACTTAACATAGTGCATTAAATTATTAGCTGATGTTCATAATTCCTAATTTATTACACACTTCAATACTTGTATACCATTAGGCATTAGTTTTACTTATAGGTACTTGTTTTCAGCATATTTGTTTTTTAATGGCTTTTTGAGTTTTTATGTATTATAAATATAATTGAGTGATGTTCATTATAAAAGTTATTGATTTTGCTATCAACTAGTAATAATTTTAAAAATTGTTTTCATTAATCAAATTACTATAATTATTACTTTAATTTTTAAAGTATAATACTGTTTTTTATGTATATAGATACAAAAATATTCTTAAATGCTTATTCTTATTAATACATTGTCGAGTTATTTAATTTGATTGTTTATTAAGGTTAAAATACTTACGTATATAATATACTTACGTCATATTTACTAAAACATATGTAATTGTTATAATGTATTAATAAAATTAATTTGTATGATAATGTCTGCGTTTTTTTATTGATATATAGGTAGTTTTCAATGTATATTAAATATTAATCCTTATACCTTACAAATTAATAATCTAGTCTTTTTAGTGAACCGCAAGTCTACCGGTTCATTATAAGTTGAGTTCAAGACTTCCTGAACTGAATATATAATTATATAATCTATATAACGAGTTCAAATTTTTAAATTGTATGTGTGCCGACAGTACCACCTATTTATACAGAACAGAAGAATATATTTTGTTAAAATAAATCAACATTAGACGTTAATAAAACTATTTTTTTCATAAATTTCTGAATTAAAACAATTTTGGTGAACTAATTTAAATTTTCTTTAGTCAGTTTCAAATTTGATATTTTTTTCCTTTTTAATAAAAAAAGTTAGATAACATTAATTTAATGATTGAGTATGTAATGCTCAGTATAGAACTCCCAATTCCTGAATATTTA